GGCTAGAGATCTAAACACTACAAATAGACAATTTGACCTGATAGATATTTACATAGCTTTTCAGCCAAATAAAAAAAAAACCACATTCTTCTCAAGCCTACAAGGCACGTATTCAAAGATAGACCATTCTGGGGCATAAGGCAAATCTACATAAATTTAAGCACATTGATATACAGACCTCTCTCTTTGACCACTGTGCCATAAGGCTGGAAATCAACAAAAGGAAGATGAAGAAAACAAGAGCAAACATTTAGAAATTGAATAACTCTCTACTGCAAAAGGAGTGCATACTGGCACAGATCAGAGATGAAATTTGGAAATTTCAAGTAACCAACGAGAATGAGCACACGACGTACCAAAACTTATGGGACACAGCAAAGGCAGATTTCATAGCAATACATGCAAACTTGAGAACGGAAGAGAGACTCATGACTGATATGCTGGCACAAAATTTACAACAACAAGGGCAGAGTCAACAGGAAAATCCTACTAATAGTAAAAGAAAAGAAATTATAAAAATCAGGGCTGAGATTCAGGAGAGGGAAAATAAGAACACTATGGAAAAAATTAATGCTGCTAAAAGTTGGTTCTTTGAAAGGATAAACAGAATCGACAGACCACTGGCAAACCTAACCAAAGAAAGTAGGGAACAAATTTCAATAGCAGGAATAAGGGAGGAAAGAGGGGACAAAACAATAGACCCAAATGAAATAAAAAGGATAATTACACAGTACTACTAAGGGTCGTACTGCAATGAATTCAACAATTCGGACGACATGGACAAATTCTTGGTAAAATAATCCCTCACTAGACTATCTTCGATGGATATCAATAATCTCAACAGACCCATAACAATAGAAGAAATAGACAAGATTATCAAGGGATTACCAACAAAAAAATTCCCCTGGACCAGATGGCTTCACTAGAGAATTCTACCAAGCATTTAGGGAAGAACTAACAGCAATCTTACACAAACTTTTCCAGAACATAGAAAAAGACGGCAAACTCTCGAACTCCTTCTGTGAAGCTAGTATAACTCTGATACCAAAACCGAGCAAGGATCCCACAAGAATCAAGAATTACAGACCAATATCCCTAATGAACATCGATGCAAAAATCCTTAACAAAATAATAGCCAACAGAATACAAAAGTATATAAAACAAATAATTCACCATGACCAATGGGATTCATACCAGGGATGCAGGGATGGTTCAACATACGAAAGACCATTAGTATTATTCATCACATTGACATGAAAAACTATAAGAACAACATGATAATATCAATACATGCAGAAAAAGCATTTGACAACATCCAACAATTCCTGTTTAAGACATTTGAGAAGATAAGAATGGAAAGGAAATTCCTCAAGAGAATACAAGCTATGTATGAAAATCCAATAACCAACGTGGTAGTCAATGGAGAAAAGACTAACACAATCCCACAGAAAAAGGAGACCAGACAAGGATGCCCCTTGTCCCCACTCTTATTTAATATCATGCTGGAGGTTTTAGCTGACAGCATAAGGTAAAGAAAAGATGTCAAAGATATTCGTCTGGGGAAGAATGAGGTGAAACTATCGTTATTTGCAGATGATATGATTTTATATATGGAAAATCCCAAAAGCTCCACAATGAGAGTACTGGAAGCAATAAAGGAGTTTGGCAGAGTGCCAGGATACAAGATCAACAAACAGAAGTCCATCGGACTGTTATACACATCAGATAAGACCATAGAAGAGGAGATCAAAAAGGTGGTACCCTTCACAATAGCCAAACACAAACTGAAATATCTAGGGATAGACCTCACTAAAAGAGTTAAAGATCTATATGGGGAAAACTACAGAACACCATTGCAAGAAAACAAGGGCGACCTCAACAAATGGAAGACTATTCCATGCTCATGGATTGGAAGATTCCATATAGTCAAGATGTCAGTTCTGCCAAAGACACTATATGAGTTTAATGCAATCCTGATACAATTACCCTCATCTTTCTTCAAGGAAATGGAAAAACTGATTACCAACTTCTTATGGAGAGGGAAGAAGCCGAGAATTAGCAGAGAACTCCTCAAGAAGAAGGACACAGTGGGAAGGTTTGCTTTACCTGACTTTAACACATACTAGACAGCCACAGTTGTCAAAACTGCATGGTATTGGTACAATGACAGATACTCAGACCAATGGAAAAGAACTGAAATCCCAGAAATGAAATCATCGGCTGTTGGGAGCCAGTGGCCATTAAGGCCTTAGCCTCAGCCACGTAGCCGGAACTTGGCTGCTTCCTGGTTGTTAAGTTTCGTCTTTCATTGCTTAGACCTGTGGGGAACTGGCCCTGCCTAATTTCCTGCCCAACCCAACCTCCGCTTTCCAAGCTACAGTGCTCTGTAGCACGGGCGGTTGTAAAAGCTGACCTTTTCACCCATTGGTTAAAAATACCGAGTACTCATTGGACTACAGACATACCATATTAGGAATACAATGGACTTGGCAGATACGCCTGATGAACCTTAATTTGCATGCGGACGTCTTTGAGAACTAGCGCGCGCCTTTTTTACCTGCAGCTGATTGGTTAACATTCTTATGCTTCATTATAATATACATGTTGGATTGGATGTTGTGCAGCACACCTTATTAAAATATGCACCTCCCAGTTCCTCTTTACTGCAAATATATACCCCGAGCTTTGCCCAAATAAATTGAGCTTGATCAGCGTTTTGTCTTGCTCCACGTCTCCGTGTCTTTCTTCCATCCAGGTTCGCCTTTCCCTCCAGGGCCCTGCTCGTGTGTCCCGCAGGCCGGGACGCTACAACTGGCGCCTCAACGTGGGGCCTCACGGGGATCGCGAATCTGGATGTCGCTTCGGTAAGCATGGCCGTCCACGCATTTGATCTCTGCCTCCAAGGAGCACCAGAGATCACCTTGAGTCCAACGCAGATGCTTCTCAACTGCAATACGGGACTCGCACGAGGTTCAACACAGGCTACCCGACTGTGGTACAGGACCTGCATTTCGGTAAGTGAAGTGGCGACATTATGGGGCAAACATTATCTGCCCGTGAACAATTCATTCAGGGGCTGAAGGCATCCCTCAAGACACGTGGGGCTAGGGTCAAAAAGAACGATTTGGTAAAATTTTTCCTTTTTCTAGAGGATATGTGCCCCTGGTTTCCTCAAGAAGGAATTATCGATGAAAAATGTTGGTTACGCGTAGGGGATTGTTTAAAAGATTATTATCGTTCTTTTGGGCCTTCTAAGATACCCGTTGATGCTTATAATTATTGGACTATGATACAGGAGATTTTACAAATCCACCATTATCACCCTGACATTTCTAAAATCGTGTCTCAGTCACAGACTTACTTAAAAACTGAATATAAAAGTAGCAAACCTCCCTCTC